AATATATATTTAATTAAAACTTTTCTATCCTACATTGTATAATCCTTCTGTATATATGATCTACTTCAATTCTATTTAGGATTTTGTTGTCGTAGGTAGATTTTAAATACATGTTCCATATAAGTACCCTATACTCTGCTAATAAAATCAAGTTCATATCTTTAAGTTTTTTACTTTTTGCTTTGGGTATTTTATTTAAAAATATTGCTAGGCCTATGTTGACCTTGACATGGCTGTTGGCATTTAAAATATTTGACAGAGTTTCTCTCACAATAGTGAAGTTTGGACACTCCCCAAACAGATGTTTTTCTAGTTTGTTATTTTCAACCCCTCATAGTTTACATGTGTGACCTGCCCTGTCCTTACCCCTCTTCTTTATTGGGGTCATCCCATAAATTAGCCTGTAGGTTACCTCCCGTACTTTCGGAGTTATGTTTTTATTGTGTAATTGCGTGAATGTGTCTGTGTGTGTATTAAACACTATTCCTAATTCCCTTCCCCCTTTATTCTAAGCTCTAAATTTTCTTTAAGTTTATCTCGAAGTGCTGTATAAATGTTTTTAGTTTTTTGGTGTATTAGATTTTCATTGTTTTTTAGGTGTCTGGTTAGGGATCTGTAAAATGGGTGGATGTGGGTGCCGAAAAAGTGAGGTGTGTTGTTTTTGATGGGGAGGATTTTGTTGAGCCTTAAACCGAAATAGTATAAGGTTAAAGGGAAGTTTTCAGGGCATCACCTAACTACTCTACCGATAAATTTTAAACGAAGTGCTTTAAGTTTTGTTTTGATATCTTATATAATACAGACGTTACTTCAAAAAAGAAGATGATTACGTCCTACGCGTCATGCATTTAGTCATGCATATTAACCAATGACTTAAATTCTGCCAAGTCACTGGTTTTCCTGGCTAGCTCAGGCAACCCATTCCATGCTCTAATAGCACTAGGGAAGAAGGAGTATTTGTCCTAGCATATGGGACGAGGAATGTGCCTTTATCTTTGTGTCTTTCAGAGCATTTTATTAAATTTTGTTTTCGTATTTGAAGATTATGGTTTAGTGTTTTATGTATAATTGCTACTTTACTTTTGAGTCTTCTGTCCTGAAGGCCTTCTAAATTTAGTGATTTTACTATAGGTGTTACTCTAGTCAAATGTGAATATTCATTTGTTATGAATCTCACTGCTCTATTTTGTGTCTGTTCCAGTTTCTTAATGTTTTCTTTAGTTGAGGGGTTCCAAACGGAGGATGCATATTCTATTATTGGCCTAACCAAGGTTAAATAACATTTTAGTTTTATGTTCTTATTTGATTTAGAGAAATTTCTTTTAATAAATCCTAATGCTTTGTTTGATTTTTTTTATAGTTTCATCAATATGTGGATTCCATTACAGTTTTTCATTTATTATAACACCTAGGTATTTTGCGTTTTTAGTCTGTGTTACTGGTTTGCCATGAATAAGATAAGTGGAATTAATTTGTTTTAGTTTTTTTGTTACTCTTAACAACTGACATTTTTCTGGGTGGAAAGACAAGCTCTAATTTGATTCCCATTTCTGTAATTAATCTAATTCTCTTTGTAAAATATCTGTCTTGTGTTGTTTTTATTGTTCTATATATTATGCAATCGTCTGCAAATAATCTGACTTTTGTTCCTGAAGTAATGTAAATTGGAGACACAACACTCCTAACGAAAACACAAGAAAGTTTAAAACCGTAATCCGAAAGAATCAACTCCAAAAAAAAAAACACAAGCAAACAAAAAAATATAAAAAATACTTCCAATAGATTTAGATTAATCAGTGGAAATAGAGGCCTAAAATGCTGCCTCGACCTGGGAGACCTTGCTGATCATGGTACCTCCAGTGCCAGGTTTATTAGTCGTTGATTAATTATGAACTGATAATGTGCGCGCCAAGAACACGGACGAGAGATGATTTAAAGATTTATATAGGTCGAGATCCTTGCTCAAAACGAGACATAACATATTGGACACTTTTTAGTACGAACGCTGACCAATCACGCAGATGAGGGGGTTGTGTTGGTCTTTCGACGGTCAAATAGCTGAGACGACAAAGGGCGGGGCGTGGTCATTGTTCCAACGAGGGGACACAACACCAGTGACCAACAAAAACTTTGGGCGGGCGACACGATCGATTGACAATAATGGTCGGCGCGTTGACGAATAATTCAGTGTACACCATTGTTTAGAATACACACAATATGCTCTTTTAGTGGGGATTGTATATAATAGGGCCTACAACACATGAATACAATCAGTGTATATTATGGAAAATTGCATCAGCTATATTAAATCATAAATATCCTCTTTTAAAAGAGGTTTGATATGTACTATATAGAGTGGCAAGAAGTAATGATGCTGTAATATAGTGTTATATTGTAATCATGTGTTGTAGGCCCTATTATATAGGCCCACAATCCCCACTAAAAGAGCATATTGTGTGTATTCTAAACAATTCCATCGAAATGGTGTACACTGAATTTATTCTATACAATTCTCCCTAAACATTTATTCCTTGATTAAGAAGGCCTACATAGAAGTACCATAAAATTGACTACGTTAATGTGCTGTAAAAGAATATTAGAGCCTACAGAGGCACATAAGAGATTTTTTAAAATGTAAACAGTAATCAATTCTATAATTACAATTTATTATTACGTATACATACTATGTGTTATACGTGATTATGGATATATAAGGGAACAATGATTATGCAAAATATGGTGGCAAAATATGTAGGTTTTCACTGGAAATACTGCATTCTTTATTAAACTTCGGATTTGGAGACAAAATAGTTTAAAAAACAATACCTCCTTTATACAACTTATAGAGCGATTATTTTTCTCTTAATAACTAATTAATGCGACATTTTACCCCCTACCCCCTCTAATAAAAAATAAAGATCAAGCGAATGTATACATCCCCTGCACTTTGTAATACTTCTTATAATAGGCCTTAACCCTTACACCTAGAAGACGATGCGCAAAATGTTCCTGGACATTAATTTATTAAACTCTTGAATAATATAATGCCTACATGCAGAAAAACAAGAAGATAAATATTTTCTCGAGCCAAAATTTTATTTTCTTTCTTTCTATACTTTGAACAATCATAACTGTCAAACTAGAGTTTTCTCAGTCCGGCCAACGAAACGGTCAAACTAGAGTTTTCTCAGTGTGGCCAACGAAACGGTCAAACTAGAGTTTTCTCAGTGTGGCCAACGAGCTAGTTATTTATTCTCCAACAATATACATCAATTTTCCAAATTTCAAGGAAACTCATTAGAGCCGTTTTCGAGATCCCTGACTACCCAGGATTTTGAGTTTTGAGACCTGATTTTGTTTTCTACGAAGATCCAATACGAATAGAGGTATTGTGCGAAAGTATAATTTATAAACAAATTAATTTGACACATTTTGCATTTCTAAATGTGTAGCCGACTTAATGAACCTCTATTATTGCCATTTTACATGAAATTGATTTCGCACAAAGATTTTTTCGAATAAATCTCAATAACTACTCCAGAAATTAAATATGCATCTTGTCATTGATGGGTACAGAAGTTAAACAATGGAAAAGTAGAGTAGTAGGTCACCCACCACTGATATATATAATAGGTCTACATCGTCATTGAGTCTTCTCCTTTTTTTATTTTATTTTTTTACTTTTTTTCCTAGCGACACAATTAGGCTACTTCTTAAAACATGTTTTTATTTTCTACATTTGACTGCGTGCTGGTTATAATCTAACAAATAAAACTGATAAACAAAAATGGCAAAGGTTAAAGCTGGAGATGTACGAATAAAAACAAACACAATGCAACGCTCATAGACTTATACATAAGATATACTACTAGACTGGAAACCGGAAATAAATTCTTATCCGCGACTGATCGATCGTGAACATTCTGTAGAGAGTTGGATCAGGATGGCTGCCTGGTCGTGCGGTTTGCACGCTGGACTGTCGTTCGGACTTATCGATGGTCCCGGGTTCAAACCCTGCCCGCTCCCATCCCCCGTCGTCCTGCGGGAGGTTTGGACTAGGAAGTAATCATCTTCAACTCTGAAGGAACATCCGAAATAAGTAAAACATTTTACAAACATTAGTATAGTTCCATGGTTGGATCTAGGCGTTATTTTGTAAAGTAGTTAGGCCTAAAAGAAGTAAAGTTGTTGTTTGTTTTTTTTAACCCTAGCCTATGTCACAGATGTTTCAGACATTTTAGATCTAAATCTACGGTCAGTTTTAATATTTACTATGCAAAATGTTTATATAGCTTTTAAATTCTCAAATAAGATTAGTTAGAAGAAACTAAAAAAATTATATTTACTAATATATAGTAGACAACTATTTTTTAAATACGATCAGTTGATTTAAAGAATTATTTGATTATTTGAAAATTGAATTTGCACTTAGTTGAGGCAATTGGTATCTGGGCCTACAAATGTATTTTTGGTCTTTTAGAATCTTTTGGCTCCATTTTAGAATTACATTTTAACCATTTGTTTCCCTTTATTTTTAATGTACTCTTTTTTTTCCTTAAATGTGCAAGATTTCTATGCAAGGGCAGTAATCAATGTTAAAAATACAGACATCACCATAGTGTACACAATTTTCGATTCTGTAATAGATTTACCTTTTATTATATTTTGTAGAAATTTTGTAGAACAAGGTAATTTTTTTTTTTCAGTTAGATTTTTAAAAAATATTGCAATTATTTATTTTATTAGGACAAATTGTTGCTGAAAATACGGACTGGTTGGTACAATTATGTCATATTTAGCTGAAGATAAGATACAATATTTATTATTGATCTAATCAAATGGAAATTTAGTTTGACTACAATTGACAACCTCAGCGTAACTACTGTACAATAACAATATATATATGCAAATACGAACAACATTCACACATGAAAACACATACACACTCATAAACACTTTCATTCTCTGAAACACAATAGGAAAGGAATAATAGAAAACAAATGAGATTATGTCACAATGTAATCAGGTCAAAAATTTAAATGTAACAATTGGTACAGACAATTTATATAGAAACATGTTTGAAATCCTCACTAATCATGTTTTCTATTTTTTTCCCTATGACGATCTTGTCATAGGCAACCATTTATTTTCCTTTGGAGTTTGCAATGTGCTTCAGACGTGAAGATAAGCCTTATTTATTTGCAATGTGCTCTGGACTTGAAGACAAGCCTTATTTATTTACAATGTGCTTGTAAAAACTGTTAATAATTCACTTTTATTAATCTGTAGGGAGGCTGGCATTCCATTTTACTGTCAAAAGAGTTGAGATGAAACTCTTGGAACTCTAGGCTTGTAAGCCTCATTGAACAAAGCGATCTCCTTAAAAGGGGTCCAAGCTAATATCCATGTTTCACAGAGCTATTTCCAATGAGACGGACACTCCGGACTAAAGCAAATAAAATTACAGTAAAAACTATATTAATTGTTTGCCAGGAAAATTTCTTTTAATATTAATAATCTTAAACCATGGTTTGACAATATGATAAAATACTGAATGAGAAATAAGATGACTAGCTGTAACTGAGAACGTTTTAAAGTATAATCTACACCAGTGTTTCCCAAACTTTTGATCTATGTGTACCCCTTTTATAATGTAATTTATTAACAGAACATAGTAACTGGGTATTTTAAAAAAATCAGCATAGTTAATGAGGTGCAACATGTACCCCCTCCAAAGTCTTCCCGTACCCCTGGGGGTACGCGTACTCCACTTTGGGAAACACTGATCTACACTGATGTTTTTTGTACTTGCAATATTTAAAATAATGATCTAATATTTAGCATAATTAGGGGAAGGGATGATCTGAGATGATCTCGGGTTCGAATCTTAGTGAAGACTGAGATTTAAAATTTTAGGATTAATCCACCTAACTCTAATGGATACCTGCTGTTAACTGGGGGAAAATAAAGGTGGTTAACCATCTGCCATAGAAACAGATGACTTATCATAGATCGCAAGGACTGGAAATGGTACTTAACTTATTTACTTACTATTTGGGAAGATACAAATTGAGTGCAGACCAGTGGCAATGTTAGGTTAGAATAATTAGGAAACAAAAATCAGGAATAACATGGCCTGAATGGTGTCATTTGCCAAAGACTTTGACAGATAAAAATTGCCCCAATCTAAGACATATTTATGGTAACAATTCTACAAAGACAGTAGCAAGCAAATTGTAATGTTTTTGTTTGACACTAATCACAACTTTGTGGTGACCATAGAGTAAAGCTTCGATTAAAAAATTGGCATTTCTAATCACACTGTTTTTGTTTCTTTTTGTTAGTGTGGCTTTTCAAGTTATTTTATTATCATCAATAAACCAAAGAAATGCCAGTTTGTCACTGGTGAATTAAATTTTTCTATTAAACTGTAACCACAGCAACAAAAACAGACAAAAAAATACATTTAAAAAGTTACAAATTAGTAATCGTATTATTTTATTCATTCTCTTTAGTTTTGAAAGACATAAAAGATACATTAGTTGGAAACAGGCGACCTTCATCAGTGTCACACATGAAAAACAGACTACTCAGGTTATAACTAATCATTCAATTTCACTAAGAAACACATTTAGACATTAAAAAAGTCACTTATTCGCTGGGAAAAAAAAATAAATGTAATTGGCCCAAAAGATTTCTTGTCATTCTTTAACAGCATTAAATACACTTTTATTAAATAATAGTAGTTTGTGATGTAACAAAAGAATAAATATTGTGACAACATGTAAATCTAAGTAATGTATATATTGTGACATAGATCAATAATAAAATCATTGTGATTAACCAGAAAAGTGAGTACATCTAAATATTAAATTAGTGATTTACTTTTTAAAAGCTACACTAAGATAGACACATCAGCCCAAATTTATACATTATACATTCTTGTTTACTAAAGTTATATCTGCACTGACATTAAAAGACTTTCTAACTAGTGCAATTTTATTTTTGAAGTCAATAAAAATACAAAAATTCAGAAGTGTTAATCTTTGATTTTAGATAATGAGCATTGCTTTTATGTCTAAAGAGTTTAAAATTAAAAGGAATTATTCAGTATAACAGTAACTGTGATTTTTTTTAAACAGTCTCAGGTGTCAGGAACTAGCTCAGTATAGTACTAGATATAACATACATGATCATAAACTTAGTATTGTTTCAATTACTAATCAAGGAAATATAATTCAGATTTATCGCAATCTAGATCTCTGGGCAAATAATCACATTTATTATTTCCCAAATCAGTGATTTACATACGTCTTAATTTTAAATACTTAAATTAATGACTAAAGAAGAATTTTTTTTTTTTGATTTAGATGAAAAATGATCTGGATATTCTTTTAACACTAGGAAAAAAAAGATTACAAGGCTAATTAAACTTTCTTTTCAACATGAAGATTTATAGAAATATTTCAGAAGATTAGCATCATGTGTTGTGATTTGAAAGTGTCCTGAAAACATTGAAATATTATTAACTGTACATCAATCATACTTTTTCTTTGATACTATTCTGTCTAATAATAAACATTACCTAAATAATTTATTTAGGTCGCTGTCAAAAAGTAAACAGCAAACTTCATCAGAAAGATAGAAAAAATTCCGGTGACAAAGAGTTCAAAAGAGAAGCCAGTCACTAATACGTCTTCTCTTTGAATTATTTAACTGAGAATGTTAAATTTTAAACTTTAAATAAAAAAATAGATCAAGCAGTTCTTATAATTGATAAGTGAGTAAAACTGACAAATATATGGAAAAAAAACATTAAAGAACCAGATCAATGAAAGACAAACCTAGATGTTCAAATAGTTGCTGCCATATACCCTGCTGCTATATGTTGGGTAACTATTTGTCAAGAGAATCAATATAAATTTACTCTATAAAGAGCCAAATAATGTTTGTTTTTTACAAAAACGTGACAGCAGTTAAAAAATATTTTTACAGAATCTTATTGATTTTATAATAATGAGTCACAAATATGAATTATAAAAAACAGCAGGTTCTCTCCAAAATGCTTATAGTAAATAAAAGTGAAACTTTAAATGAACAAAAAAAAAATAAATTCTCTTGATAGAACGACTCTCAGGAAAAGGATTTTAAGAAGGAATGATGAAAGGATTTCAAATAAAATAAAACTGTTTACAAACATTGTTTACAAACATTTTGAAGAGACTTGTAAGTATTTAATACTGATGAAAGTTGGCACTAAAAAAAAAATAATTTCTGACCAGACATGCAAAATGTAATTTAGTTTTAGATATTTTTTTCCTAGGAAATCATTTGTTTCATGTATTTATTTTGAAATGAAATGTCTGCCAGCGATGTTGAATCTGAAATAAATCCCATCAAATAATTGATTATCTCAGAGATGGGAACTCTTCTTTCAGTAGAACATATTTCCTGCAGTTGGGACATGAACGCTCTTCCTCCAACCATTTCTGAATACACTGAAAAAGAAAAATAAATAAATGAGAATTCATAAACATAACAATTGGACTATAAAAAGGTAATTAAGAAAAAAAAAAGAGATGGAACTAATCATTTCAATTTTGCTTACCATCTCATGAAATTTATGATGGCAATCCAATGTCAAAGCATCCTCAAAGTGAATAGTTTCATGACAAATGCTGCAATCTGTGTTGCGAGGTCCATGGCCTGACAGTGATTCCTCTGAGCTGAAGGCAGTATGTCCTGAGGCCTGAAAGCAACAAGTCACAATCAGTGAGCACTACAGACACACATCAAGCAGAAGGTTAAAAGTATGAAGAAACAAACTTCCCTGACGCTTAGAGCAAGTGGTCAAAGGGTTTTATAGTCACAGAAAAGCTGGGCACAATATAACTTTAGATGACAGATTTACAGAACCCATCATGCAATTGAATTAAGTACAAAAGTGACATGAGTGTAAACAAAAGGGCAAATGTAAAAACAAATTCTTAGAGCGAAAGCATTGTTCCACAGTTTCTACCTGTCCTGCACTATCCTCAATGATCTTGTCAGCTATTGCAGTAGAAAGTTGGATTTCTGAAAAATCAGACAGTGTCCCACCATTGGCCTTTCTCATTTCTCCAATTATTTTCAGGATTGCGTTTCTGCAAGGCAAATATATGAAATGGTTGTTATGTGTAACATACATTCTCTTCATAGACTTATCTACTTTCTACACTTCACATAAATGACAAAATATAGAAGTGATAAACCACACATTCTTGCTAGGCTCAATATTCATTTTTTTTCTATAGCTAATAAAGTTTCTTTTTGTAAAAGCAACTCAGAATAAAGCTTCTGCACTACATATTTTCAATGAGTCATACCTTGGGTAGTTAGGAAATGTCTCCTGGATAGTTTGGACTATCTTTTCTAGTGAAGTCTGTGACTGCTGGGTTAAGGACGCAGATGGCTTGGACATTAACCCAATTGACATGAGTGGACGGATTGGCAAGCCATGCTTAACAATGCTAGGAGCTGGTGACTTGATGTTAGAAGTCTTAGAAATTGCAATTTTGGGCATGCTTCCACCAGCTAAAAAAAAACACATTTATTGTCAAAGTCTCTGATTCACTATTTCCATTGTATGCGTAATAGCACATTTTGATTTGAGAATAAAAAAAATATAAATTGTGTACTCTCATACCTCTTTTAGCAGCACTAGGAATGCTGTCATTGAAGTTGCTTCTGTCTAAACTTTCAAATCTGTAGCTTTCAGCAGGTAAAGTGTTCACCTCATGATCTGAGTCGACAACAACAAAATGATAAAAACAAATGAACATTACACAAAAAATCAGGCCTGATCATATTGGATCTGATTTAGACTAGATTAGATTCAGACTGATCACATCTGATCAAATCAGATATGTATCTGAACACATTGGATGAGACCCTATTGGATTGGATCTGACATCCACATTATTAGTATTACACTATCAACTTTGCTGCAAATTCGTGTGAATTCCCAGACCCAACCCACCCATGAAAAGAGTGCAAGCCAATAGTAGGAATTGAAAAGGTTTAAAAGATGTCGTCTAGTTCAGATGGTTCAGTGACCACAAAAATTTAGGGTATTATGTGGCCTGCATCCTTGTCTACTTTCTCTCCCCCATCAATTAAAGCTGGATATCCTAAATGCTACAATGAGAAATCATACACTAAAAATGAAACCTGAGACTCCCACTTTCAAGGATTGAACTATTTCCAACTTTGCCACCATGAAGTTGTTCATACTTAGTTAAAGACTTTTTTCAAAAAGTGAATAGTGAAAACATTCTAAACTTCATATTTACCTGGAATAATTGAAGCCTTTGGTAACTCCTGAGAAAAACCAAAACAAAAACTTGCATTATTTTCATTCTTGAAATAACTTATGATAAAAAAAATTCTATTTAAAATTGTTTAATCATTTATTTTTTTTTCCAAATGTAAATCTAATCACATCTAACCATTTTTTGGATTGGGCTCTCCATGACTATAAAGATTGGTGCTGACAACTGTTGCAGGCTATCCATGATGAGGTCAATGTCAACCAACTCTAGATGTGATAAAGTCTACAAAAAATAATATATATCAAAAATGAGTTTATTCCTAAAAGCACAAAATCAAAGCACCCATTGTGGGACATTTAATGTTAGATTTTTTTATAATGAGCTCATTTTACATTGCAGGCCTATGTTGAGAAATGAAAGTATTTAATAATAAAATGCTAGTATATAATATGATTTACCTCACTTCGAACGAGACATTCATTGCAAAGTTCATAATGATGAAGCCACTCTGTCTTTTTCTGAATAAGTTTACTGAATTTATCTTCCCCCTGTCTGGTACTGTAATAAAATATAACAAGAGCATTTTTTACGTATGCCAATATTTCCTGAAGATATTTTCTTACTAACACAAAACGACAAGGTACTAAGTTATAAAAAAAAGCATTCTTAAGATAGGTAGTCTTTCTAACCTTGCAGTGGCAATAGTAGATTTGTATTAGCAAGAAGTCAGGATCAATATATATATTGACACTACCTAATATTTGCATATTATTACCTTGCCAAGGATTCATCTAAAATCTTGATATTTTTTCTAGCAATATCCTTATGTCTTTCCAGCCATCTTGACCTCTCAGTCTTTACCTCTCTCTAAGGATAGATTGTCAACCAAAATTTCAAAACAGTAAAAAAAAAAAAATTGAACAAAAACACTAAAACTTGTGTTATGAGAATGTCATTACAAGGGAAATAATATTTCTGATATGTGTAATTCTTTACATAGATTGACTTATTATAATATGAAATATTAAGTACAATGAAAGAGAAACCATGCCAAATGTTTCAATAAGATTTCAAAACCAACCTCAGCGGCCTGACGCACAATTCTTTCTTTCGATAGTTCCTGTTGTAGAGCTTGAAGTGCTTGGATATCTCCTTGAGTGCCGAACCTAACAAACACAAAAAATGTGAAAATGATCACAATGTGTCAATGGGGGATTGAGACACCAAGTAGAAAAAAAAAAAATTCTGTTATCCATTCAAGTGTAGGTTAGAGAAATGGTAGACATTTAGTGGTTTCTACCTAACCTGCATTGAGAAATTATAAGTGAATTTATTAGTAAAATAAAAATTGATTACAAATAAATTAAGGAAGCAGGGATCGCAAAGTTCACTGAACCACCCAAAATAAATTGTTGATCTGTTAAAGAATGTTATGCAGAGACAGAACAACCATCTGTAACTTACTTGTTAAATGAATTCCATGTGTTATAGCTGCTCAACTGATTCTGCAGGAGAAAATTAATTAATATAAGCCACTGTAAAAATGATTCTGTACTAAGAACTAGATAGAATTTTTTAAAGGCAAATAACTTTTTAAAAAAAAAATGAACCTCTTGGTTGTCTTCTCCTTCAGTCTGGGTTGAACTGTTTTGTAGCTCATTATGATAACTAAAAAGGGATGAGTCACTACTGTCAGGAAATGATGCAGAAGGAAATGGCTCAGCATACTGGTAACTTGTGTGGTCTAAATCCTGGAATTGGGCCTCGGCCTGTGAGCTGCGTTCTGCTCTACTGCTGGTAACTGCCAAATTGTTTCTCTTTCCAGGGGTTCGAGAAAAACCTGGTGGCTTCGTCATGACAGGGAGATCATTCTGGGGTGCTTGCACACTATCAGCAAGCCTCTGATCGCCAATGGATGGCTTGAGCCTGGATAGCATCCAGGAGACGCCGTTACTTTCAAGTGATACAAGGGCAGATGATTGAAGGAGAGAAGAGGTAGAAACATCTGGTTTATTTAACCACGGCCCTTGGCCAGGCAAAGTCTGCTGCTCAATTAGCTTTAGTGGAGTGGAGGTTTGATGTGTGGCAGCCATATCTGCTAGAGTCGATCCCTTGCCTGTCCAGCTGGTATTGCCCTCATCATCCTTCCTCCAGACATTTCTTAATTCGGCATCGGCAGATATACTAAAACTATTGTCCAAACCTTGATTCTCAGCAATCTGGCTCAGAACTCGTGATTTCTGGATTGGCGGCTGTCTATCAGTGGTGGAAAATGAAGGCACCGATGAATCCTGGCTAAACGAAGGGAAAAAACTACTCTGCACTAGCCAAACATCTTTTAGAGGCTCTGCCCTCGTGGACCAGATGTTGGCATCAAAGACATTCTGCTGAGCAGTAATGGTTGTGAAAGGCACCAAAGAGCCATCGTTGGGACTGCTGTCAACTCCAGAGTCAAACAAGTCACGCCTGACTGGTTTCTTCAGCTCACTAAGACTGGCCTGCTCTTTTTCCACAGAACCATTATGGTTGTTCACCTTGCCAGGCCACATTACCCCAGAGCCGAGTTTGGCTTGGTCTGTGATGCTGTCCTTGTCAGAAGTGGAGGCCAGAGATTCTCTGTCATCATCATCTGCAGTAATGCTACTTGAGATGCTGCTTTCACCTGACTGTGGAAGCCTCTGAGTAGCAAGGCTCATCAATGGCCTGGAGAGAAAAAAATAATGAAAATCAAGTAAATTTGAGAAATTTCCCATTGATACATCATACAGCTATTTTTTTCCCTGTTGCTGTGGTCAGTTTACAGTGATGTTAACTGGTTAGTATTAAAACCAACTGCTAAGGTTAGCTAAAAAATATCAGGCACGCATTAAATATGCAAAGCACTAGAATATGAATAAGAGAACGTCAGCTAAGAAACCCATTCTAAAAGAACTCACGACCCATCTTAGAAATCTGCTTTCTCTGGTCAG